ATAACACTCTTAAAATGAAAATTGGTTAAAATCTCTCAATAGCTTACCATTTTACCTCAAATAATATTAAAACTCACCTCCTTACCGTGGCTCCTTTTCTACTCTGTGGATCTGGTTCCCGTCTTTAAAACCTCACTTTGCTACTCTCTTCCTTCCTCATACTGGACTCAGTTCTTCAAATGCACCAAGCTCATTTCTCTTCAAGGTCACTGCCCAGGCAGTTCCCTCTACCAAGAATGCGCTTCTTCCCACTCTACAATTAGCTCTCTCTCTTCCCAAAGAATGTGGCTTAAATGTCATCTCCCCAGACAGGCCTTTCCAACCACCACATTTAAAATAACAGGTCCCTCCCGTAAGCCTTAGCTGCTTCCTCCATAGAATTTCTAACAGCTTTTATCATCTTATTTGCTTAACCTATTTTGTTTTTGTTTTTTGTCAGTCTCTCTTACAAGAAAATAAGTTCCATGAAGGCATAGACAATATCTGCCTTATTTATCCTTTGTTCTCCATCATCTAAATATTAAATTCTAGAAAACAATACTCAATAAAATAAGGCAAAAGCAAAAGTAATGTAATTCCCAGTTTTAGAGAAATAATGTCAGTCTAAGTTGCAAGTTGATCAGAGCACTATAGATGCAATATATCAAATTATGTTGCCCACCTTAAAAATATACAATTTTTATTCCTAAATTGAACACTGTAGACATATAAACAATTTAATCCTTCTGTATAAGTTTAATTTGATTACGACTGACAACGTTCGTTTGACGAAGTCAACCATTTTGATCACTTAACTCTATGTACTGATCTCCACCATCTTTATATTCCCAAGAAATGGTGAGTCAAGAACACACAATGAAGAAACTTCTATTACTTGGGGTTTGGTTGATGTAAAGTGCAAAATAGGATCTATCCTTTCACCATTCGGGACAAACGGAGTATGTTGTCAAAAGTACTCAAGCAGTGAGGAGAGAAAGAGAGAGACTGATCAAGATATGGTGCCTGTGATAGGGAAAGAGAGTTTGCAGAAGGAAATACAAGAAATCTATGACGACTTTTGTACTTGAGTAGTTTATACTAGCAAGGATCAGTTAAGAAACATAAGGATTTCTACTCTAATATTTTTCTTAATATTTAATTTTGTAACATAAAAGTAACACAAATTCCTTATAGAAAACTTTGTAAATATACAAAAAGTAAAAAGATCAAATTTAACCATTAATTTTTTCTTGTATCATTAGATGTATATTTTCCCCCTTAGGAAAATCCAAATAAAATTGCTTTATTCACGTTACTTCAAGTCTGAAGAAGAGATCCTTAAAGATCACTGTATAATTTTTGTGCAAGAAAAAGCTTTTAGATATAGTTCAAACTATATCTAAGACTATACCTTAAGATTATCTCAAACCCAGAACAAACAACACCTAAATGATCAATGCACATCAACATTTTATCTTTCTAATTTGAATACTGATCATAATGACTAATTACACAATGACATTTCAATTTGTAATTGTATAATAAAATTACTTTCTAGGTTGTTTATATACTTATCATTAACAAGAAAGTATGTGATTACAATCTCTTGCACCTTTACGACTATGAATAGTTTATCCCTGAAAATGAAATTCATCTAAATGAAAGGTCTTTCAGAAATATTTTTTGTAAATCACCCAGATTTCCTTAACAAAATATTTAATATTTTCAGTAAAGTTCACTCTTGAACTTGCTAAAAAAATTTCAGTTCCTCCCTTTCTATAAATATAAAAACAATATTCAGTTTTAGGTTGTGAACAATTATTACGGAAGTTCAACTAATTTTAGGCTACGGATTTTATTAAGCAAATATTTTTCTGCTTAGGTATGCTCACCTGTGTTTATATACAACTCAGTGGATTTCACACTCAAGTCATTCAAATTAATAAATTCAATAAAACTAATGAGTCAAACTATGGTTTTGCCTGCTTATTTCATTTGTCACTGAATTCCCTGGGAGAAAAAAACATCACTTCACACAATCTTGGTCATACAATGAGCTCAGTAGACTCTTCTATCCAAACCATATTTTAATTTATTGAATTATTTGAGTATCTGATGATATTTGGAAACATGAGTCACACCCTGAGAGATGCAACTCTTTTAGGCTCTACAGTACTATTTGCTAAAGTGGAGTAATCTTTGAATAAATGGACCCCTTTGAATAAATGGACTAACCACTGTAATTGATATGCATGGTTACTTGTATGAAACAAGATTGTTTTATATTCAACTATGTATCCAGTACGGAAATAAAAGTTTATGTATATTGATAAGGTAAAATCTGCTTTTCTTAAAATAAAAATTACTAACATCTAATAAATACTGTGGTTTCAAATAGAAAATTAATGGAATAAGAGAGACAAATACAAATCATGTTTTCACCTACTTAATCAGATGAAGTGATCTAGGAAGCACCACTACTTTCTGATCAATTCAAGGAGGTTTAGGTAATAGGAAGAGAGAGTCAAATTGATTTATTTTGTCTATATAGTACACAGCTTCACAGCCAGTTAAAACACAAGGGATGCTTCCTATAGTCAAGTTACCTTTAGTACCATGTTAAGCACCATGTTAAAAATGAGATAGTTCACTTTTTTTGTCATTATCATAATTTTACCCTGCCTAAGTATGGAAAACTAACGAGGGGAGAGGGAGAAGGTGAATCTATTGATTTCAAACATCAAAGGTTTTATATAACTTAGTAAAAACAGATAACATTAAAAATTTACTTTGTGAATATCCTTCATCAGAAGGCAAGTTATATAAAAATGAAATTTTACCCTGCATAAAATAACAAATTTTAAAAATAAAACATGAATTCTATTAGCTCCTAAGATGAAAAGTTACTAGGAAAATAATTACCATCTCCTTGAAATTAAATACTAATATTAGTATTAGTATTAATTAGTATGATCTTTATTGTGTTTAAATATCTAATTTATGTCTTACATTAATCTTTCCATATTGTATATATACTATAACAATGCTGTAATGTCCCATGTTTTAAGTGTTTAAAAACTGGTAAGATACATTTTGACTCATGTTACCTATTTATGAAGCTACAAAATAAGAAAATATCCCCAAAATGTTTATAAGAATAACATTTTGAAGTTTGACATTTTATTAACCATTAGTGTGATGATTTCAGTATTCAAAAGTTATCCCAAAGTATTATGAAGCATAATTTCTAATCACTATGACTTTACACCACAAAAAGCATTTTATAACTGATGAAAAAATCTTAGGATACTTTCTCTATAATCTTCTTTTGAAGAATCCTCTAAATTTTACCCAATTTAGCCTTTAGGTACTATATTATCCAAGTATAATCTTATGCACAGCCCATGTTTTCAGTATATTGATACAAATTCAAATTCAAATTAAGAGTTTTAGTAGACTATCTTTAATGATCCTATTTAACTGATGAGTAAATTGAGTGATACTTATTCACTAACATTAAGTTAAGCTAGTTGATAAAAATACACATAAATTCCATATAGTTGCTAAATATTTTAGGTAAAATGTTTTTAAAAAGTATGGGAAAGTTATTAAAATAGATAAATAAAAATTATTACAAGACGTTAATAACTAACTACTCTATGCTTTTGAATTTAATATGAACATCTGAAAAGTCATCTTTAACACCTGCCACATTTCGGTATAATGGCTCTTAGTCATGTGGAGATTTGGATACCTGTTTTATTTACGTTAGTATCCCAGGGCCTAGGGCGGTTACTGGTGTATCATAGGCACTTATCGAATAAACAAATGTTGCTTTAGGGCTATTCCTGCATGGAAATACTAACTGTTAAATACTGCAGGTAAACTTGACTCTCCAGGTGGACATCTCTTTAGTAGCCGTAGATCTAACAAGGTACAATATAAATGTCTGCCTTTCTAACTATTAAAAATTGTCTCTCTCTCCTTACAACAAAAAAGTGGCCGAGGAAATAATGACGCTGTTTTTAACAACCTTCCGTCTTCACAGAGGCAGATCAAGTAACCACCCGCGATCTTGACGCCAGCCGCCCTTCAACACACGCGAGGGGAGCGCGCGGGCGAGCGGGCGCAGCAGGCGGCACGCGCCCTACAGCCACAGCGGTCAGGCGCGGGCTCCAAAGCCGCACGCGCACCTGCGACTGCAAACCGACGGGCAAAGCAGAACAGGGGCAGGTGGGCAGGCACGCCGCAAGCGCCGGCCGTGTCAACCAGAACGAGTGGACAGACTCCGAATAACTGTATTTCCAAATGAACGACAGGGTCGTCTCCGCTGACGACAGAGAAGGAGCTGTGCTGTCCCGCCCGCCTGCCCTCCGGCCCTTCCCACCCTCACAGAGCGCACCCTCTCCTGTCCCCTCAGCTCCGCTTCCGTCTCGGCCCGTCACTCCGAGGACCTACACGTTAAAGGGTAACTGCGACCGAAGTTCCAGACGTGAAGTCTAGAAACGTGCGACAGAACAGGTGACACCCCGGTGGTCATCACAGCGCCAATGAGCAGCCAGCCAGGGACGCACCGGGAAACTTTTACGGCTGTTCCCGCGCAGCCTGCCCTCAGGTGACCAGGTGGTGTTTCCCAGGCCCTTCACGCTGGCGGCAGAGATCCAGCGAGACCTGCGTCTCACACAGGGCGTCGGAAGAGAAGCAAGGGAAACGTTCCAACCCTGGAAGCGCTGCCCCCCGGCGACCCTGCCCCGCTTCCCCAGGGAGGTCTTACCGCAGCCCCCCGCCGGCGCGCGGGCTCCGGCCGGAGGTCAGCGACGCCGCGAGGGCCGCAGGGGGAGCGCACGCGGGTCCGGGGTCCGGACACGCACGCTGGGTCCGGAGGTTCGCGGGGACCGGCCTGGGCCACGAGCCGCCCGCACCCCTCGAGGCACGGGGTCCGTGGCCCGGGCACGGGACGCGCGCTCCGCGGAGGGCCCAGGCGGCGCGAAGTTAGGGCGGGCGGGCCCCGCGCCCCTTACCTTGGTTGCTGGGGACGTGCGCGCAGTCGCCCGGCGCGGCCGTCAGCAGCGGCAGCAGGAGCCCGAGAGGCAGGAGACACCCGCGGACCGCGCGGCCGCCCATGGCTCTCGGCGGCGCTCTCCCGCTCCCCTGAGGGACACGCGGCGGCGGCGCGGCCAGGTGCGCGGGGCGGGGGTGCCGGTCCACGTCCTCCTCCTCCGCCTCCTCCTCCTCCTCCTCCGCCCGGCCCGCAGGGGCTGTCCCGGGGCGCCCCC